GCTGGGGTTGGCATCCTCCCCCACTCCTCCAGATATCGAGGGTAAATGGGCGAGGTTTAGGACTGTGGCTCATGCATCTGCAATGGCTGCTTTGGATACATGGTCCAGACATCCCCAGAGACCCTGACTGAGAGGTGTTTAGGCTGGCTGAGAAAAAGCGACAGGCCCACTCTCAACGTCTACAGCATCCCACGTCAGAGAATGAGGAGACTTACTGCAGCCTTCGCTCGGAGGTTCGGAAAGCTGTGAGGCGCTGCAAGGATGGGAGGTGGCCGCGGGTTGCTGAGGAGATGGAGTCTGCCTCAATGGCCCGCGATCACAAATCGCTATTTAACTCCATCAAAAAAGTTACCTGCAGTGCCATACCTATTATCATCATTAGGGGAAAAACGGTGAACCAATCTCCAACCCCCAGGAACAGGTTTGCAGATTTGCTGAGCATTTCTGTGAAGTTCTGTGTGAGGGGAAATCCCTCACAATGGAAAACATCGTGGGGAATAGTGAGGATGGCCCTGTTGAGGCTCTGGTGTCTTGGAAAAAAAAGTCACCCCCTGTGAGTGGCTGCCTGAGGTGCCATCTGTTGAGGAAGTACTGAAGGCGATCCAGAGCCTGAGACCAGGAAAGGCACCGGGCAGAGATGATCTCCCAAGCTAAATGCTGAGGGAGAGTGGAGTTTGTGCACAAACTGCCCTACATGACATGATAACAACAGTCTGGACCACTGGACGGGTTCCACAGGATTGGAAGGATGTCCTGGTGGTCCCCTTCTTTAAGAAGGGGGACCACACAGGCTGTAACAACTACAGGGGCATCTCACTCCTCAGTGTGCTGGGAAAGGTCCTGGCAAGGATTAGTCAACATCACCATGCTAGGCACGCTGAGGAGCTTGCGGAGCCCAAATGCGGTTTCAGGAAAGGGCGGTCCTGCACAGATGCCATATTTTCTATCCGTCTGCTACAGCAGAGGTGTAGGGAATTCCAACAATTGTGTATGTGGTTGTGTTGGTTGTGGTTGTGTTGGTTGTGGTAGTGTTGGTTGTGGTAGTGTTGGTTGTGGTAATGTTGGTGGTGGTAGTGTTGGTGGTGGTTGTAGTGTTGGTGGTGGTTGTAGTAGCGTTGGTGGTGATTGTGGTAGTGTTGCTGGTGATTGTGGGAATATTTTCCTTTTTCCTTTTAGGTATAACCATGTGAGCCATGCGGCTCTTGACTCGGGTGCAACCGCAACAAAACAAAAACATGAACAAGAAACATCTTAAAGTGACTACTGGTGGTGGTGGTTGTTGTTGGTGGTGGTGGCCGTGAGTGTCTCGTCTTGCCGGTCAAGAGAACTCAACGTTATCCACACGGGCTGTTACTTAACCACCACCACCACGAGCTACTTACACAACAACAAACCCCACGTCAGTCACGAATGCGAATGTCCACGACGATGCAAACGTCGCATTACATTGTCAGTGTAAATTAAGTGGAATGTGATCGTATCATTCGTAATGACGTGTGCACGGCAACGTTTTGCTTTCACGCGTGCGCTAATTTAATATATACCCCGTACTGAATTAACCAAATGGGAGATTAGTGGGAAAATTACATTTGCCAAAGACATTTTTACCGTGTTTTTTGCGATGGGCAATTTAAATGTAGTGGTTGTGCAAAGTTGCATTCGCGAAAAGCGTAAATAGTTGTACGTTACTGTTCAAATAAAATTAAGACTTAAATTAAGAGATTCCTGTTTTGCACGCAAAGCCTTTGAAACCCAAGAACCGTTCCTCGAAAGTTCCCCCCACCCCCTCCCACCTTCCCCCCCCCACCACCTTCCCCCCTCCCCCGCGAGCATAGCAACAAGAGCAGCCAATCAGCGCGCTCCGCGTCGGCGCGTGACGTCGCCGACAGCCAATGGGAGCGAGCGAGAAGCGGTCCATTCCCCCCCCCCCGCCCCACCCCCCACAGCGCGCGGGGTAGGGGGCATCGTGGTCAATAGTGAATAAATTATGCTAATAGCGTCGCGCGGAACTACCAATGGGAGAGCGGAGGTGCGGTCACAACTTATGAATAATTAATTAGCCTCGTGTGCGTGAGAAGGTGAACGTCAGCAATGGAGTCAGATGCCACGGGTCCTTAGGTTTCAATCCCTGTGGCTCACTGAGCCAGGCCAATGCTCCCCATAAGGTTCAGTGTTAATCCCTGAGGCTCCTTGAGCCAGGCTAAGGCTCCCAACAGGGTTCAGTGTTAATCACTGAGGCTCCTTGAGCCAGGCTAAGGCTCCCCACAGGGTTCAGTGTTAATCACTGAGGCTCACTGAGCCAGGCTAAGGCTCCCTACAGGGTTCAGTGTTAATCCCTGAGGCTCATTGAGCCAGGAAAAGGCTCCCACAGGGTTCAGTGTTAATCACTGAGACTCACAGAGCCAGACTAAGGCTCCCTACAGGGTTCAGTGTTAATCCCTGAGGCTCCTTGAGCCAGGATAAGGCTCCCACAGGGTTCAGTGTTAATCACTGAGGCTCAAAGAGCCAGACTAAGGCTCCCACAGGATTCAGTGTTAATCACTGGGGCTCACAGAGCCAGACCAAGGCTCCAATAGGTTCCAGTGTTAATCACTGTGGCTCACAGAGCCAGACTAAGCGTATATACACAATATGAACTGTAACAAAGGTATACACAACAACTCGTGTCAGGCTAGGTGCAAGAAGAGAAATCACGGGACAAAAGCAGGTGTCATGGGTTGACTGCTGTGCTAGGCTAGGTACAAGAGGTCACGAGACAGACCCATGTGCTCTGTGGTTTGACTGCTGTGCCATGCTAAGTACAGGAGGCAGAGGTCACGAGACAGACCCATGTGCTCTGTGGTTTGATTGCTGTGCCATGCGAAGTACAGGAGGCAGAGGTCACGAGACAGACCCATGTGCTCTGTGGTTTGACTGCTGTGCCATGCGAAATACAGGAGGCAGAGGTCACGGGACAGACCCATGTGCTCTGTGGTTTGACTGCTGTGCTATGCTAAGGTGCAGGATGAGGAGGAGGTCACGGGACACCCAGGCGCTAGAAGCTGACAGATGGTTCACATATGCTAACACAACACAAAGCTCCCCCGTGTAGCGTGCAAAGTCTGTTGGGGCAAATGCTGTTAACGAGTACCACCACCTTCTGGGAAGGAGGAGGGGTGGTATGGACACAGCACCACCCTATTCCCAACCGCCTTTGTCTCCCCAATGTTGATATTGGCTAAACGAAACACCCGGTCACCCTGTTGTCTACCCAGTGTCCACCGTTTAGTGAACGCCACTGCACTGGGTAATTAATTGTATGCTGAGTCGACCTAGGGGAGACCCCAGGACTGCGTTCAAATATTCGCTCTCACAGATGTTGGCTGTGAGCAGGAATCCAACTCAAGTCTCTGCCCGGGTTCGTTCGTTGCACCCTGCAGCGCTAACCACTGCGCCACCGCTCCCCACTAGCACACCCACGCAAAGACAAAGATTCCCCGTATAGCCTCAAATAGGCTGTTGGGGGCAAGTGCTGTATGCGAGTAGCAGCAGCACCTATGAAGACCGACACGGCACAGGAGGTGGTGCTTGGCCAGCTCCACGCTCTGCCACCTTTGTCTCCCTAGTGGCTATGTTTACACACTGCACTAGATACTCATTTGAGGCTAAGTCGACCGAGCGGAGGCCCAGGACCGGTGCAGATAATCGTCACTGGTGTTGATGACCATGAGCAGGAATCTAACTCGGGTCTACGCCGGGTTCGTAGCGCAGCGCGCTCACCGCTATGCCACCGCTCACTCCCCACTCACACTCAAAAACAACCACACGAAAACACGCGTACACCCTGACACAGTGACATTTGCATGAACACACACATCCACAGGGAGATACACGGCTAGCCGTGAGATATTCTTACAGACTCGAACCCCCAATTCGAACTCGTATTGCCAGGTTCAGCAGCAGAGTCTCCAACTCCTTGTCAGAGCGAGCAGGGTTTACCAAATCATCCGCATACATAACATGGTTGACCAGTCGGGAGCCATTTCTCGACCGCACCCGAGCGGGTATAGATTGATCGATCGATCAGCCTCCCATTGTATATTCTGCACCAGATGGAAACTGCTCTGGGAATCAAACTCGGGTCGCCTGGGTTAGTGTGTGCAAACCTACTGTGGCCACAGAGCTACCTCCCCCACCTCAACCCATGCTGGTAGACTCAGGGTATTTATTTATACTGGAGGAATCCGATGAGCTATAAAGCTTTTTTTTTACAGATGTCCAGCAGGGGCAGGAGGTCAGACTCGCACACATACAGATACGACAACAAGAACAACAGCCGCTATTCGCCACTAAGTGGCGGTGACGTCACAACGGCACTGTTGTGACCAGGACCACGTGCACTCGGAGGCCAACGTAAAGTATTGAAGGCTCGCTTGCTGGCACGACCAGTTCCACGGAACATACCCAGCAAGTGCCATGGGCGGGGTCGACTGACCAAGATGACCACCCTTACGATGCACCAACTGTCGCTGCTCCCCCCCCCAGCGGTGCCAACTTTCGGTGTTTTAGCCGCCCGGCGATCACATTCACAGGCGCTCACTCAAAAGGAAAATCACATACACTCGCACGTGTATATATGCACGGGAAGTGGCGGTTGGTTGACATCGTGTGTCCCGTGACCCCACGTCTTCCAAGTGTCTACCCCCCTGATCACCCGTCTCTTTTCAGGTCTCCTGCACCCTGTGTATCCTCGGTGTTTCCCCATGTTTCTTCCACCCAGTGCCACCCGTCTGCGTAATCTCCTTGAAACCATGTGTCTATATATCCGCACGTCACCCCCACGTCTCCCTGTCTCCAAGTCACCCGGAGGCTCCCCGAGTCTCCCCGTGTTTAGCCATATTCTGCTGGGTCTCCCCAAGTCTCACCGTATTCCACCAGTGTCTCCTCGTGTCTCACCATGTCTCCCCTATTCGTGTGTCCCCCCTCAACGCCCTCCCCGTGTGTGCGTCTCCGCGTCTCACCTGCCACGCCTGCCCTTGAGCGGTCGCATCCATTCGCCAGCCGGGCCTCCTAGGCGAGATGGCAGGCCTCCCGCGGCCCCGGACAGCTAGGCCTCATCCCCAGCCTGAGGCATCGGACGTCCCGTTGTCTTTTCCCCCCCGAAGCGCCACCCGCTCTTGATGTCGACTCCCGCGCTATCCCTACGCTCTACCCAGTACACCTACGATGACTCCCCTACGCTAGGTCCAAAGACTCTGAACACTGGTACGGACTCCCTTATGCTTAAACGAAACTCCCAAGTTCTAACCTTGACAGCAACTTCCTACTCTAGTCTCTAGACTCCTAACTACGACACGGATTTCCTACTCCGAACTCCAACACGGACTCCCCTACTCTAGCCCCTAGACTCCTAACTCTGAAACGGACTTCCTACTCTAGCCCCTCGACTCCTAATTCTGACACGAAGTCCCCTACTCTCGTCTTCTGACTCCCGACACGGTTGCCGCGTCCCCACTTGTAGTAGCCTCTCCACCCTGGTCCTCAGGCAATTCCCGCTCCTCTGATGCTGGCACGGCGGGCTTGGGCCGTTTCTCACGTCCAGAGCTGGCCGTCTCCCGATCAACAAGCGACCGTCGGCGCCGCCTAGGTGCTTGCTGTTTCCCCGCGATTAGTGAGCAGCTTCTTACGCGGAGATCTCCTCCGCATTCCGTCAGCTTAAAAAAATAGTCTTCCCAGGACTGCTGCGGTGTAGTCCCACCGAGCCCGCCGAACTCCTCGTGCGGAGCACTCGCTGACGTCGACTAATGTCGGCGCGGATGTGACGACGCCGCTTTGTGCTCACTCCAGTCGCTTGCGCAGACTGCTTCACAGGCGCTCACCGCTCCACACACGCTCACACGCACACCGATCGCGAACACTAATCGCTCGCGTCCGATCACCGATGCCTCGCACCGATCGCTCACTGATCGCTCACACACGCTCACCGCTCACGCCAACACATCGATCGCTGACACATGCTCACCGAGCGCTCGCACCGACCGCTAGTCCCGACCGCTCACCCCGACCGCTCGCCCCGATCGCTCGCCCCGGCCGCTCGCCCCGACTGCTTGCCCCGACCGCTCGCCCCGACCGCTCGCCCCGACCGGTCGCCCCGGCCGCTCGCCCCGGCCGCTCACCCCGACCCCTCGCACCCGCTCACCTCGAACGCTCGCACCGACCGCTCACCGATGGCTCGCACCGAGTGCTCACCGACGCGAATTCAGATTCTCGCACAAATCCCTTGCGGTATTCCACCGGTCTCCCGTTACGCCAAACTGCACTCACCGATCACCTCGCTCCGCCTCCCCGCCACTAACTCCTTGCACCGCTGCTCACCAATTGCACCTCACCGACGATGCCTGACATCTCCCACGGACATCATCACCACCACCACACCACCATCACGACACGGTCACCACTACCCACAAGTATCCCAGTAGCACCTGCATATAGCACCGATTAAGCAAACACCGAGCACCCCGAGTTAAGATAATATAATAGAGTTAATAATAATATAAAAAAGTGAATCAATTAAGATTTCAATTACCCTTTAAATAACGTAACAAAAGTGAATTAGCCATTAAATAATCATAATTTTTTAAAACATTACAAAATAAACACGCGTTAAATTAATCGTAATCGTTTAAATTACAACCCCCTCCCCACTCAATTTTTTTTAATTAAAAAAAATGAAGTGTTTGTTCGTCGTTTAAATCACCGAATAATAACAAAAGTGAACATTTGTCATTCACTTAAATTCATAGCGAGTCGAGTGGTGCTGGGAGGAGGGAGGTCACCCAACTTGACGTCTGCAACCAAATTGGTGGCGATGTCCAGAAGTGCCACCGACAATGTTACGTGCGTATGTGTATATATATAAAGTGTGTGTGTATATAAAGTGTATAAATTAAGTGATTACAAATCGCATCGACGCTTCGGAGTTGTCAGGAGAGCGAGCCCGCGACATTCGTGGGGCTTTTCGGTGGGACGGTAACTAGGCCGCTCGCGGAGCCTACGCTCTTGCCTAGAATCTCTACCCGAGGCCGGCTCCCCTCGCCCGCACCGCACGCACCGCACGCACCCCCCCCCCCCCGGCTCCCTGCCCTGCCAGCCGAGTCTTCACACTCACACACACAGACACAACACCCTCCTTGGGGTAGAATTCAACGTTCTTCTTCTGTCTCTCTCTGTGTGTCTGTCGTATCCGGGAGATATCCTTTGAATCAATCAGCTTCGCTTCATTAAAAAAAAATCCACCACCTCTCCTCTTCCGCCCCCCCCAACAATCTCCTCCGCTTCCTCTTCTTTTTCCTCTTCCTCCTCCTCTTCCTCCTCCTCTTCTTCTAAACAGACCGAACGATCTTCAGGCGATTCCCCTGAAATTGTTGTATTCAAACGGTGCCGCTTGTCGCTGTCCGTTTGGCGTCTCCTCCTTTCAAGAGGAGGAGAAGTGGTGGTGGATTGGTGGTGATATTGGTGGTGGATTGGTGGTGATATTGGTGGTGGTGGATTGGTGGTGATGGTGGTGGATTGGTGGTGGTGGATTGGTGGTGATGGTGGTGGTGGATTAGTGGTGGTGGATTGGTGGTGATGGTGGTGGATTGGTGGTGGAGGTGGATTGGTGGTGGTGGTGGTTTGGTGGTGGTGGATTGGTGGTGGTGGTGGATTGGTGGTGGTTTTGGATTGGTGGTGGTGGATTGGTGGTGGTGGATTGGTGGTGGTGGTGGATTGGTGGTGATGGTGGATTGGTGGTGGTTTTGGATTGGTGGTGGTGGATTAGTGGTGGATTGATGGTGGTGGTGGTGGTGGTCGACGTTACGCTTACGGATTCAAGAGAGCAGGAGGGCGAGTGGAGGCTCCATCATCACCACCATCATCATTATTATGTCACCCCGCCTCATTCTGCTGCTCTTCCTCTGGCTATCCCAGAGGTGTTGCCATCATCCTCCTGCTCGCCAAGCAACGCAACCCACCCACCCCTCCCTGTAACAACCTCCTCTTCCTCTGTCGCCCTTTTCGCTTGTCCGGCAGCTCTGAGCGATGAGCAGCCGGACTGGGTATCTGTATGGTGTCTTCTCTTGGGTGTCTGGTGTCTCTCCCCCCTACCACCACCACCTCATCCTCGTGTCTGTCCGCTCCCCTTCCTTCTCGTCCACCTATCTCCCTGCCCCGTGCCTCTCACCTCTTCTTCCTCGTGTTTCTACTCCACGTGTCTCTCTACTCCGCGTGTCTCGCTCTCTCTTCCTCATCCACCACCACCACGTGTTCTTGACTCCTCGTGTCTCTCTGCACGTGTCTCTCTCCTCTTCCTCCTCCTCCTCCACGTGTCTCTCTCCTCTTCCTCCTCCTCCACGTGTTTCTCCTCCTCGTCGTGTCTCTCTCCTCCTCCTCGTGTCTCTCTCCTCCTCCTCGTCTCTCCTCCTCCTCGTGTCTCTCCTCCTCGTGTCTGTCTCCTCCACGTGTCTCTCTCCTCCTCCTCCACGTGTCTCTCTCCTCCTTCACCTCCTCGTCTGTCTCCTCCACAACGTGTCTCTCTCCTCCTCCACCACGTGTCTCTCTCCTCCACGTGTCTCTCTCCTCCTTCACCTCCTCGTGTCTGTCTCCTCCTCCACCACGTGTCTCTCTCCTCCTCCTCCTCCACGTGTCTCTATTCCTCGTGTCTGTCTTCTCCTCGTGTCTCTCTCCTCTTCCCCGTGTCTCTCTCCTCCTCGTGTCTGTCTCCTCCTCGTGTCTCTCTCCTCTTCCTCGTGTAGACGCCTCTCTCCTCCTCCTCACGGTGTCTCCCGACTCCTCTCTCTCTCTCGAGAGAGAGAGAGACACACAAGAGACAGACGGGACACGCCGCTTTGCACTCACGGCCTCTCCCCTTTCTCTCGCCTGTCACGCTCTCCCTTCACTCTCCCTTCACTCTCCCACACTCTCTCCTGCTTCGCTCTCCCCTCTCTCGCTTCGCTCTCCCCCCTCTCTCTTCCGTCTCTCTCCCCCCCCCCACTCGCTCTCTCTTTGTCTGCCCGGCGTCTCTCGGTGTGTAACTCACTGGCGAAAGAGCTCCTCCCCCTCTCTTTGTCTCTCTCCCCCCTCCCTCCCTCCCCGTGTGTGTCTGTCTGTGTCTTTGTCTCTTGAGTGTGCGTCTCTGTGTGTGCGTGTGCGCGTGCGTCTCTGTGTGTGTATTTGTCTTTGTGTGTGTCTGTGTGTGTGTCTCTATGTGTGTATTTGTCTGTGTGTGTCTGTGTGTGTGTCTCTACGTGTGTATTTGTGTGTGTATGTGTGTGTATTTGTGTGTCTGTGTGTCTCTATGTGTGTGTCTGTGTTTGTTTTTGTCTCGTGAGTGTGCGTCTCTGTGTGTGCGTGTGCGTCTCTCTGTGTGTATTTGTCTTTATGTATCTGTGTGTGTGTCTGTGTGTGTTCCTCTATGTGTGTATTTGTCTCTGTGTGTGCGTGTGTCTCTGTGTGTCTATGTGTGTCTGTGTGTGTGTCTCTGTGTGTGTATTTGTCTTTGTGTGTCTGTGTGTGTCTGTGTGTGTGTCTTTACGTGTGTATTTGTCTTTGTGTGTCTGTGTGTCTCTATGTGTGTGTGTCTCTGTGTGTATTTGTCTCTGTGTGGCTGTATGTCTCTATGTGTGTGTCTGTGTTTGTTTTTGTCTCGTGAGTGTGCGTCTGTGTGGCTCCGCGTGTCTCTCTGTATCTGCGTGTGAGTGCCTGTCTATGTGTCTATGTGTCTGTGTCTATGTGTCTGTCCTCCGTGTCTGTGTGTCTCTGTGTATCCGTGTCTCTGTGTGTATACGTGTGTGTCTATGTGTATGTGTCTATGTGTGTGTGTCTATGTGTCTGTCTGTGTCTGTGTGTCCGTTCCTCCGTGTCTGTGTGTCTGTGTGTATCCGTGTCTCTGTGTGTATACGTGTGTCTATGTGTTTGTGTCTACGCGTCCGTGTGTGCCTGTGTCTCTGTGTTTGTCTGTGTGTCTCTGTGTCTGTTTACCTCTCTCCGTCTGTCTCATCCCCTCCCCCTCCCTGTGGCTCTCTCTTCCACTCAGTCTCTCAGCCGGGAGAGACCTAAGCCATTTAACTCCCACTCTCTCCACACTCTCCCCTCGCTCTCCAATTATCTCTCTCTCTCTCTACCCCTGCGGCTCTCTCCATCCCACACAAACACAACGGCCCCTCCCTCCCTCTATCTCTCTCTCTCCCCGCCCACTCCCCACTCACTCGCCCCTCTCTCTCCGTACAAAATCTCACTCTGTCATCTCTTATTAATCACTCCCACTCGCCCATCCCACTCTCCCTCTCGCTCCTCCCACTCTCCCTCTCTGACTCCTCCCACTCTCCCTCTGACTCCTCCCACTCTCCCTCTGACTCCTCCCACTCTCATTCTCTCCCCACCCACTCTCTCGTTCCTCCTGTTCTCATTCTCTCCCTCCCCCCACTCTCCCTCTCGCCCCTCCCACTCTCCCTCTGACTCCTCCCACTCTCCCTCGGACTCCTCCCACTCTCCCTCTGACTCCTCCCACTCTCCCTCTGACTCCTCCCACTCTCCCTCTCGCCCCTCCCACTCTCCCTCTGACTCCTCCCACTCTCCCTCTGACTCCTCCCACTCTCCCTCTGACTCCTCCCACTCTCCCTCTGACTCCTCCTACTCTCCCTCTCGCTCCTCCCACTCTCCCTCTGACTCCTCCCACTCTCCCTCTCTGACTCCTCCCACTCTCCCTCTGACTCCTCCCACTCTCCCTCTGACTCCTCCCACTCTCCCTCTCGCCCCTCCCACTCTCCCTCTGACTCCTCCCACTCTCCCTCTGGCTCCTCCCACTCTCCCTCTGACTCCTCCCACTCTCCCACTCGCTCCTCCCACTCTCCCTCTGACTCCTCCCACTCTCCCTCTGGCTCCTCCCACTCTCCCTCTGACTCCTCCCACTCTCCCACTCGCTCCTCCCACTCTCCCTCTGAGTCCTCCCACTCTCCCTCTCGCTCCTCCCACTCTCTCCCTCTGACTCCTCCCACTGTCTCCTTTACGATCAGAGGAAACAAGAAGATGCTCAGTGTAGTCGGCACTTTGTTTTGTTCATCATTTCGTTTTTTTTAATGCTTTGCTTGATGTAACCCCCCCCCCCCCCTTTTTAAATGAAAGGTTTCACAATAGATTTCACGCTCTGCTCTCCTTACACCTTCCCTCTCTTTTTTTGCATCTGCACCCAGCCCTTCTCGCAGTCCTACGGCCTCCGATGGGTAGCTTGTATCTGCATGCAGAGCTCTCCGTCTTCTGCCACCGAGCACACGGCCTCCTCCAGTACCCACTGCTCCTTGAAGGCCGACACGGCGTGGGTCAGCCACGCATGGCGGAACTTCAGCCACACCCTGGCCCCGACCAGAGCGCGGAAGATGCCCAGGCTGCTGGCCGGACGTTTCCCCTCCACGGCCACCTTCCTCGCCCTGTATACGGCGAGCTTGGCATAACCGACGTGCACGTTGACCAGCCCCTGAAGATGTTTGGATCCGTCGCCCTTCGGGTATCCAAAGATGAGGACCATCGGGGAGAAGTGGAGGCTGAACTTTAGGAGGATGTTTCTCAGGACCTTGAACAGCGAGTCCAGGCTCATGCACTCCACATATTGGTGTGCCACTGTCTCCACTTTACCGCAGAACCGGCACTCCGGGGACGTGTCGGTGAAGCGTGCCAGGGAGGCTTTGGTGGTGATGGTGCCGTGGGCGATGCTCCTAGCTGAGGTCGCCCATGCGGTTGTGCGTCGGGCTGGAGTAGAGTTGCCTCCATCGAGGCCTCTCCGGAGAGATGCAGGGCAGGGCTTTCCTCCAGGCATTGTCGTTGTGGCTCCTCAGGGTGTCCTGTTGGTGAAACCAGACCATGTAGGAGTAGAGCACCTTCCTCTTTACATTTGCGAAGGCCACCTCCGGTAGGTCTTCCAGCCAGCACAGGTTGTGATCCGCCTTCGTTTGTTGGCATTGGCGATGCAGTGGCACGATGGAGAGCTCCGGTGGAAGGGGATCGAGAGGGGCCTCGTCATCCCCAACGCCGATAGGGGGCGTTCTCCCCGCTGCCGCTGAGAAGGCCCCCTTGGCTTCGGCCAGGATCCAGGCAGCCACCCGGAGCGATTGTAGCCCTGTCTTTGCGGCCATGTCTGCTGGTCCGAGCCACCAGCCCCGTGTTCCAGGCTCCACCAGATCTCCCATCCTGGTGAGCCGCGCGTTGGCGAGGCGCCTCTCCATGCCAGGGGTGGAGGTGGTGGATAGCAGCTTTGTCTGTGGGTTCCTGAGGATCAGTTCGAAGACCAGATCCTCGGCCGATCGCGGCTGGTTCAGCCTCCTGACAGCAAGGGAGCTCCATGTCTGCAGGACACTTCTGTAGAAAGGTGGCAGCTGTCCCAGTGGGAGGCCCTGCAGGTCCATGTAGAATAGTTGTTTGGAGCACTGCAGACCCCCCCAGCTGTGCCGTGACGCTCCAGGCTGGTGCATGGGCGGCATGCAGGAACTTTTGCGCAGCCTGCAGTCGGAAGGTGGCCAGCTGCCTCTGCACGCACACCAGCCCGTGACCGCCCTCGTCTAGTGGCAGGGCCAGGACCCCAGCCGCGACCCAGTGTCCTCCGCCCGACCAGAAGAAGTTGAGGAATCGCTTCTGAAGTGCGTTGACGAGGCTCATGGGAGGGGTGCAGGAGAAGAGTCGGTGCCACAGCATGGATGTCACCAGCTGGTTCACCACCAACGTCTTTGTCCTGAAGGTGAGGAACTTGCACAGGCGACTCCAGGTGGCCAGCCGCTCCTTCTCCTCCAGCTCAACCCAGTTCCTCTGCGGTGGTTCCTCCTCTGGTCCCAGGAACACCCCCAGATGGTGCAGCGATGTTGTGCTCCAATTGATGGCTTTTGCCTTCTCGGGACACTCGGTCATGTCCCACGCTCCAACCAGTAGCCTGCTGCACTTTTGCCAGTTAATTTTTGATTAGGAGGCCTTCGAAAAGACCTCCTGGCACTCGTGCAGCAGGGCGACATCATCCAGGGAGCGCAGGATGAGGAGGACGTCGTCGGCGTATGCCGTCAGGACCAACTTGATGCTTGGTTCCATGAGCACCAGGCCGCTGAGTCTCCGCCTTATGAGACTCAGGTAAGGCTCTAAAGCCAGGGCATAAAGTTGGCCCGACAATGGGCATCCCTGTCTCACTCCTTGTTCGAATGTGACCGGGGCAGTGAGGGCGCCATTGACCTTGATCATGCACTCCACCTTGGTGTAGAGTAGGCGGATCGTTCGGACAAAGCCATCCCCAAAACCAAAGGTCTTGAGGGTTTCCAGCAGGTATTTGTGGTTTACTTTGTCAAAAGCCCCGTCCACTCTCCCTCTCCTCCCACTCTCTCTTTCTTCCCACTCTCACTCCTCCCACTTTCACTCCTCCCACTCTCCCTCTTCTCCCACTCTCCCTCTTTCTCCTCCCACTCTCTGACCTCCATCTGACCTCCGTCTCTTCCATACACTCTCCCCCAAGTGCTGTTCGCGAGCATCAAGAGCCGTGCTTTCCCGGCCGCCTTTGTATCTCTCTCCCTCAGTGGTCATGTTAATTATGCACATCACCCGGCATCCTTTGTCACCCCAGTGATTATGTTAAATATTTATATATATACTGCAATATTCCGATGAGCTATAAATCACATTTTTGTCACAGATGTCCAGTAGAAATTATACGAAAATACTGCACCAGGCACTCATTTAAGGTTGAGTCGACCTAGGGGAGGAGCCCAGCCCCAGGTTCAGAGATACATCTATATATATAAAATCGCGAATCTGTCTGTCTATCTGTCTGTCTGTGTGTCTGTGTGTCGCCGGACCATACGCACTTTCATTGGACGCCGGTTGCCCCTGCCAACGGCTAGCGACGCTTTCGCCGCTTTCATTGGACCTGGCAACGGCTAGCGACGCCTTCGTCAAGGGCTGCACTTTCATTGGACGGCGGTTGCCCCTGCCAATGGC